TATATATTATTTTTTTTTTTTTAGAATTGGGACTATGTGAGGAAGTTTGCTGTTTTCTGATCTCATTCTGATGTGAATGCAGAAATATTTACAAGTTATATTGCTGTGTGATAGTTGTTTTGGTTTGTTATTAAAGCTGTTCTGTTACAAATTGGAAATTCAACCTTTATTTTGTCTCACTGAGTCACGAGGACTCATGTACAAGAGAGACCTGTTTAAGACAAAACCACAGATGCGGTACAGACAACTATATACTATCAAATAAAAACCATATTAAATGAAAAGTAAATAAAAGTAGTGATATAAAATGAAATAAAACAAGCTACATTATGAAACGAGGCAAAATACTAAAAACAGGACATGTGTGCATTGTTTTTTTCCCAGGAACTTAACAGATGTTTAAAGACACTTAGAGAAGGTCGAGAGCTTCAGATCTTTTTGTAACATATTCCAGGAAACAGGAGCGGAGTAGGAGAAGACCCTTTTGCCAAGTTCAGTCCTCACTGAAGGAGCACTGCAGGTAATAATGTCCTGAGAGCGCACGCTGTAGCTGCACTAACGTAGTGACATGTAGGAGGAGATGTATGAAGGCAACAGACCAAGAGATGATTTAATTGATGAAAATGCACCAGTAAGAGAGTCTGTGTGAAGTTAAAGATGACCAGTTAACCAGTGAATACAGGGTGAATGGTGGGTGTAGTTACAGCCAGTTATGAATCTTAGAGCACCACCATAGACCACCCGCTTCGGATGTTATCAGCCATCTGCAGAGCGATTGTAGGAGCGGTCATGTAAATGTCACCATAATCAATGGAGGGAAGGAAAGTATTAGCTACAAGGCGTTTCCTAGCATTCAGAGTTAATCAAGATCAGTTTATAAATAAGATAAAATAAAAAATAAAATAAGGCTTTATGCTAGTTTACAATTCAGAATAAACATACAGTTCTGAATATCCTGATGCATGCTCAATGCTTTAGATACAGTTCTGAAGAAATAAGGCTGAGGAACAACCATACTACCACTGCAGACCAAACAATTAAGTCTTTGTTTTGGCGTTTAACACAGCAAAAGTGTGTGTGTGTGTGTGTGTGTGTGTGTGTGTGTGTGTGTGTGTGTGT